TGTATTACAGACAGCAAAAAATATGATCCTGTTGTGAATGTCCTGGTTTAAACTGGTTTGGTAATGTTCAACAAGGAAGGTTGCTGAGGAGTCATCTGAAAACACCTTACATTAGTGTTACAAGCAATTAATTTCTGCTTCTAAGCAACTGTCCCTGCTCCTGCCCAGAATATTTTGGAAGGGCTAGTCAGCAGCTTCCATCCTCCCACCAGCAAAACCATGTCCACTGTAGGTTTCCAGTACTAAGAAGTACTTTGTCTAGGGACAAAGATACAATCTCTGTCAGTGCAGAGCCAAAGTCAGCAGGTGAGTGCTTTACTTGAGCAGCTTGGGGCACTGGTTTTCACAGGGCTAAGAGCTTTGTGCTTGTTCAGGAGGAAGAAGGTAGGTAGCTCAGGACATCTTTATGTTACAGCACTTATGTGGAGTTGGGTACAAATCTGAAGGAAGCAAAAAAAGGTACTCAAAAGTATACTCTTATTACATATAGCAGTGTGATCTCAGAGGAGTGAAAGAATACAGATTGCAAGGGGGAAAAAAGCCAAGCATAAAGCAAAAGAAATATAGTTGGTAGGTGCTGTAGCGTTTTAAATGCACCAGAGCCATTCTGCTGCTGTTGTGGTAGCTGTCCCCCAGCTGTTCACACTTCCAGGTTGGCTGTTACTTCATTTTGGTAGACATAGAACGATGAGCTGTAGCAAGGAAGAAATGGGCTGCTAATAGCGTGGAGAGGTAGAGACAATGTATCTGGCTTTAATACTATTGATAATTTAGTTCATGGAATGGAGTGTCTTCTAAATGGCACTTTTCAGTCTCTCCAGCCTATTCTAAGTGAGATATATGTGCCTTGTGGCCAGAGATGAATTGTGGAGATAGGACCTATGAATCAGTCTTTGCTGTGTGGTCTCTTTTTTCCACTTTTTTTTTTTTTTTTTTTTTTTTTTTTTCGTTTTTTTTTTTTTTTTTTTTTTTTTTTTTTTTTTTTTTTTTTTTTTTTACATTTAAACCAGGAGTTGATTAGATGCCTGGCAGTGATTACTATCCATTGGCACCTCCCACTGGGAGCACACTCCAAGTACCAGCCTTCAGCTCTTTCAAGCAGGGGAGGTTAAGCAGGCTGCTTACTGAGCAAAAGGAATTTCTCTTCCCAGGAGAGCTGGAGTGCTGTTTCTCTGGCTAAGAATGCTATAATTCCTTTACAAGTGACAAGCAGGCTGCTACCATCTGCTGGTGAATGGCCGCAGGATGGTGGAGTTTGGGTGAAAATTTGCTGGTGGACCAAGAAAACAATTAGTCTTCATTATGCTGAACTTAACATTTCCTTGTAAGAAGTTCTGTGGTTTTTTTTTGGTGTTAGAATGTTTCCTAGTTGTAGTGTGTGTATTTTTTGTTTTGAAGCATAAATACATGAGATGAGAGTTCTAACCAAAGCTACAGAAAGTACCAGCAGGAACGAGGCATCTTTTTACCTTTAAGGCAGAGCAGCAATATCTTGGAAAAGAAGAGTGAGACCATCCAGAAATTTTTAAGCACTTTGTCTTCATGGGAACACCTGGGTGTGTTTGGAAACCATGTGGCACTACATGATGATAGTCTCTTTCAAAGATAAGGTGATAGACTCAGAAGTTGTTTTAGAACCACACAGCTTTGTAGGGTGTCTGCTTTGTTCAGTCACTCAGGTGTGCCAAGAAGGAAGAACTCAAAAAAAAGAGCAGTTATTGTGTACGTGGTTCCCTCAGCTTCCCCTGAAAGAAGCAGATGGTTGGGGGTCCCGGGAGGTAGAAGAAATGGGGCCATTAGACTGTCAGTGGCTTGTGAAAAGCAGAAGCATCTGCCAGAATGGAGACTTGTTCAGCAGCAGGGGAGCCAGCAGCAGCAGATGATCTCTGCCTTGAGCCGTCAGTGGCATAGTCATCCACCCGGGAATTGCTGTTGTGGGCGTAGCACAGGTAACCTTGGTAAAATCTCTGTCTGCCACACTTAAAAAAAGGGACAGTGAAGGCTCGATGCACATGCACTGGCATCTTAACTACCCACTTTTACTGTCTAATCATTCCTAAAATCACAAACAATTTTAAAGCATTCCTTACCCATTCTCAGCTGAAAATTTGTCAAAATGGCTGTCACGTTTCAGAATGTGATTTTCAGAATAGCAACGTGAACCATGCTAGATGCACCAAAGAGTAAGTCCAAAAAATAAATTACCTTTTGGAAAAGTATCAAAGATTTTGCTAGGGGTCTTGGATTTTTTTATGTCACACACCATACTCTTTTAAGACATACCTTTTTAGTGTTAAGAAATATTTTATATAGCTGCAGTTCAATCTCTGCTGCTGTAGCTCTTATGCTCTTATTGACTGCTCTGCACGGGACACAGTGTTCCAGGGGAGAATGACCTTCTGTTGCAACAGTGTGATGGTACGTAAAACATGAGATAAAGTGGGGAGGGCAGAATGCCTCCGAGGAACAAGACTAGAAATTCATATCTGCATTCAAAAAGAATAGTCAGTTTGGGTTCTCTCCTGTTAGAATAATTAATCCCAGTCAGCTGCATCTGAAAGCGAGAATAAAGTACACAGGTACAGAACTCTGTTTCAGAACTCCTCAAGCTGCACTTTGTGAGTACTTGGCATAGGTGAATCTGGGACTGTCGCCAGTACATAATATCTTTCTAGAGTTGACTTCAGAGCCAGGAAAAGACATTTTCTGTGGATGAAGTTTGGTTTTACTCCCATGGGAGAGTGAATTATGTTGCAGTTTGGCTAGTGGTCCGTATGTTTTGGTGCACATTTCAGTATTGGTTTAGCCTCTTTTTTTAATCTTTGGAAACTTGCATTGATGTTCTGACAGGCAATAATAAGCTGCTTGTGTGTCTCTTCCTAGGCCTCAGGGACACTTCTCTTGCATCATAAATACTGCAGTAGTTTGTCGTGCTTAGAATATAGACACGATTTAGTAGGAAGCACTGAAGATCAGGCTCAGGATGCTTTGGCATACCCATAAAGAGAAGGTGTTACTCAGAACTGCAGTTGTAGATGTCACGAGAACTGACGTCTCACAAGCTTTTCTGTTAGTTGCATCTGCTTTGATTTGAAGAGGGCCCCCTGGTTTATGGCTGGAGCTAGTTTTGCTTTCATCTTCATTCAGGCATTTAAATACAAACTATAGTAATCTCTGCATAGTACAGAATAGTAGGAAGAACAATAACTGTCAGATATTCTCAGAGGCTTTGGAAATACTGTAATTAACCCCCTGTTTTACTATGCCAAGTGCGGAACTTTGCTGTGGCTGTTAGCTTTGACCACGTCTGTTCTGCAGATCTCCACTTGAGCCTGTGTGCTGATCAGGGATTGAGGACGTGTGGTCCAGGGGATGTGGCCATGTTGGCAAATGAGCGTCCCCATATGTGGGAAGGCCGTGCTCGTGTCAGTGCCAGGTGTGCTGCTGGCTCGAGCACAGCTGCTGGTGTGCGGTGCAGGTGCAGCTCGCTGTAGCGGCCGTAGAGCACCGTAGTTTGACACCAGCTTTTCCAGTAGCAGCAGTGATTTTAGATCATGTCATCATCCCTGTGTGCAGGCAGGAACCAAGGGCAACTTCTCACAGCCTGAATTCAAGGTGAATTGTACCAATTATACGGGGCCTTATTGTGGTGTTGGTTGTATTTAGCAGAATACACAAAATTCCTGTCTTTCTAAAGTATGACTCAAAACTTATGGTAGTTCCTGTCTTTGTTTTCTGCCAGTAGTTAATTCACTTTTTAATTTTTAAATAGTAGCAGTCTCCTAGCATTTGGTGAATTCTACCAGGTATGGCTACATCTTTTTTAAGGGAAAATGTCAACCTGTCAGTAATCAGCTTTCATCAGAATCAGGTTAGTTAACAAAAATCGCTTAGTGTATACATTCAAGAAATAAAATGGCTGTCTGAATGAGATGTGCTCTAGAAATACTTCCTTAGGTAATTTCTTAAGTCATTCAGGATGAAGTAAAGGGGTGAGAGACTTTCTTTCTGCTTTCACAATTGTCTGATATTATGGTCAAATGCATCATTGACTAGTTGAACTAATAGGATTTAACTAATGAAAATTGAACGTGGTCATCAGATGAGTCTGAGCTACTTTGGCAATAATCAGTAATCAGCTTTCATCAGAATCAGGTTAGTTAACAAAAATCACTTACTGTATACATTCAAGAAATAAAATGGCTGTCTGAATGAGATGTGCTCTAGAAATACTTCCTTAGGTAATTTCTTAAGTCATTCAGGATGAAGTTAAGTGGGTGAGAGACTTTCTGCTTTCACAATTGTCTGATATTATGGTCAAATGCATCATTGACTAGTTGAACTAATAGGATTTAACTAATGAAAATTGAACGTGGTCATCAGATGAGTCTGAGCTACTTTGGCAATAATTGTATGAGCATCCTTGTTGCGCTGCAAGTGCGTTTTTTTTGGACATGTGCAATTTCTGTGATGATGAGGTGTTTCCCCATGATGGCATCTTCTGCTCCAGATAAATCCTTTTTGATCACTTGTGAAAAAACATTGAACTTGGCCATGATCATCTTCAGTTGCTAGTGATAATGAGAATGATGTAACCAAATTACTTTTATGGTGGTGTCTTCTAATTAATTGTCATGCTAATTCTCTTTTTAAAGCTACTGTAGGTTCAAAAACACTCTTTTTCCTCCTATTTTAATAGTGATGTCATTGTCAGGTACTGAAATACAGGCCGGTAAAACAGAAGTATTTCAAATTGTTTCTGAATGGCTGAACATTTGTATCTCTTGCCTGCTTAGCACAACTGAAAAGTTCATAGTTTGAAAGAGCTTATGTTGTTACTTGTTTGAAAGGCCTTTATTTGTGTGGTGTAGAAAGATAGAGTTTAACATGATTTATCAAAACAATTGTGCTGGAATGTGGTTGATAAAATTCCCAGGAAAATACAGGTATTCAAAAAAATGGCTGCAATCTTCATTACTGTTTTTTGGTTTCCCTTTCAGAAATGTTCCCATTGCCAGGAACCAGGAGCCACCTTAGGCTGCTACAACAAAGGCTGCTCCTTCCGATACCATTACCCATGTGCCATCGATGCAGGTAGGAACAAATGACAACGGTATTCCATAATTACTCAAATCATATGACACTAAATAATTCTGAGGTACTTTACAAATTACTCCCTCTCAGTTTTTTTCCTGCTGTGAAGATAAAGTAACGAAAATGGTGAGAAACAGCATGCGATAAACAGCGTACAGTAACACGTTGGGACAAGATGGAGCTTGTAATGAATCTGTCTGAAAGAGCAGAAAAAGCCTGGTTTGGGGGAGTGCAGCTACAGTGACGGAAATTTGGCTGCAGTGTGAGAACTGATCACTCTTTTCTTGCCAAAAATAGAAACCCTTTGTTAAAAGGATGTAAGTAAGCAGCAAGGGGTTTCTTCTTTCAGGGTTCTACTCCTATGGGTGGTCCTAGTAAAGATTTCAAGTGTTTGTGTTTGTAGAATCATCAGTACCATTTGCAGCACAACCATCCTTCTTCCTCCTAAGAAGCACTTCAGCCAGTCTCTTGAGTAGGTCCAATTTTCATCCTTATACAAGCTAATTGTTTGGATGATATTATTTCCAGCTATGAGCCTGGGCTTGTGAGTTTGGTGGGTTTTGTGAAGTAATGACAGTTTTTCATGGAGATAAACTTTGTTCTTGGGTAAAAAAAATTCAACCTCAGAGTAAGTAATACCCCACTTTTCCAGTCTCCTGTAACTCACTTCTGTCATACAAAACTTCGTCTGATAACAAACAGGAAAGGATTCAAGATTACAACTCTAGACTGGAAAATAATTGCAAGCTTCCTGTTTGTCCCATTTGTTCACCAACCATTTTATGCTGTTTTCCAAATGTTAGAGTATTTGAAGTAGGAATGCTCATTTCTGTATGACTGCATTGCACCTCTCACTGTGAAGTCCCGCCCTATTGGAGATGTGCATTTTATTCTAATAGGAATGTTATTTTTAAATTAATATTGCAGTGGAATATTCTAGTACCACAATACTACTAGCAGAGAGAATCCTTGACTTTACATAAAAGAAAGATTATTCAGGTTGCAAAAATCACATACTCAAAAAATACCAGAAATAAAGGTGTCTATGTAAGTGTAATTTTGGTCTTTTATGAATCTATCTTATAGTAATCCCTTAATTAAAGGCTGATAAGTCTTTTCATAAGGCCCTGCCTCAGCCTGTGGGATGGAGGGGTATTCATTCATGAACATATGTTGTCCTTGCTGGATCTGTGTCATACTGCAGATGATTCCTTCTCGGTTCTGAAAGCAGAACTGGGAAATTTCCTATGATGTTCATCTCTGTCATGCCTGAGAGTTTCATGAACATTATTAAACTTGTTTTTGTACAGTGTATTTGAGACACACAATCACCAATCAGATTCACATTCATGTTGTGTTTAGTATGTATTTGTTTCTGGTTTGTGACTTGCCCTTTTCAGTACCATGAAAAAACAAAAATTTATGTTTTACTAAATACAGTATGTAGCATTTCCTGGGTTCTAAATTCAGATATCAAAATTCACATACTCTCCTTTTTCTTCAGCTATATTAACTCTACTCCACTCATTAACTCTATTCCAGTTCAGCAAATGTAGGATTCTCCAAAATGAGAAATCTCCTGAACAATCATGACTGATTCCCAAGAGCCAGTTCTGTGTTATGCCTGGAAGAGGCAGCTTCATGTACAAAACCCAGTATATAATCATACTGTTTAGTCCATTTTAAATGTAACATGTCTGCTATATAATCTGTAGACCTGGATTAGATTAAATTTGGCTTTTTTTCACTTTTGTCTTGACTTTGCAACCTGTGAGATTTTTTTAGAGTAGCTTTTCGTGTTCAAGTTCCAAGGCTGTGCTTACTTCTTTTAATTTTGTTATGAGACATCATGTTGTCATGTGGCCATCTGTCGGAGTGCACAATTCCAAGCTAATTTCCCTCCTTTGAGTAATACAGCAGTAATAAATTGCAAGAGCTGCATGGAGATGGGGTACTTGGACTGTGAGTTTCACAAACATATTTAAAAAATAGTGGAGGAGTTGGTAAAACTGGTGAGTCTGGTTCACTTCAGGAAGAATATGGTTTAGTGAGAATAAAATACTTCATTGGTGCTTTTTAAATACATTTTCCTATCAGTTTCTCCCTTTTCATCTGCATGTCTGATGTGTTCTTCTCTTTGGCTTCTCATACCAGCCACAGCTCTTTCATCTAGTTGGTCTCAGGCCCCTCTTTACAAATTTCTTACTCCAGTCTCTTTTTAAGATCTAATTCCTCCTAATTCTTTCTGACTTTTCCTTTTTCCAGTTTCCTAGCTCTCACTCTGGCTTCCTCCTCTCTGCTCTTACTTCACCTCCTCCTCTCCTTTCTTGTTTCTAGTTCTTTTTCCTCTCTGGGCTTTATTACTGCCATTTGGTTCTCCTAACTCAGCTCCTTGTCACACCTCACCCTGCTAGTCCTGGTTTGCTCTCGTATATTGTCCTTTCTATTCTCTGTTTCACTTTTCTATGCCTTGTTCCAGTCAGTTCTTTGTCTTAGGCTCCTGCTGGCACTCATCCTTAATTCCCTGCTCCTGACTTCCAGTAGCACTGGTCTCCCTCCTGCTAGCCTCATTCTTTCTGTATCTTGACTGCCTTTCTCAGTACTGTTTTCACTTCTGTCTGCTGGACTAGTGCTCTCCATTTTGCAGTTTTGAAATGGTCACTTTCTCCTTTTGGGTTGCTTGAGTCTTAGAAATGTCCCCTGACAGCTTCACTGCTTTTGGGTCTGGTGCCTGAATCTGAGGGCAGAGGTCCCTTTACAGGAAGGGCCTGATTACCCCCGAACAGAAGTATATTTGGTGGAATTTTTAAAAGTACCTAGCTACTAAAATCTAATAGGCCTCTTCTGAGGATGTGCACATGAAAATCCCCATATTGCTTTTCAAGGAGTTCTGTTTGTTGGTTTTGTGGTAGCTGGCAAGGGCATGCCTTAGCTAAAGTCCAGGTCCTACTGAAAATCAGGATATTGTAGAGCTTTTCAGAGAAAAAAATCCTGGGATGTTTATCATGGGTGGAATAACTTTTTTCCAAGAAAGAGTTTTAAGGAAATTGTTGGGCTGCTTCAGCTGAAGTTTTCAACCAAAGCAAATAAAAAAGCCCCAGCTTGAAGTAGATTCTCAGCATTTAAAATTTCAGCCTGATGGTGTGACAATAAAAGACCTTGTTTGCAGTTGGTTTTATCTGTGGGTGTAATCAAGCTGTCTTAATCTATAGACACTCTTCCAATAAATCTGTGTAAAAAAAATAAGCAATCTATATGGCATAAGATCTGCTTTTCATTTATGACCAAGCAGAAAACGTAGGCTTCCTTGAGAAACAAATCAACATTATTTCTCTTTGCTCAGCCTCTAAACCCTTTTTATTGGTTTTGCAGTTCTACTGTCTTCTGTAGTGAAACTGTACTTCTCAGCTTCCTTGAGCTCAGTGGTAGTTCCATTTTGAAATCAACCTTCCTGCTTTGAGGGATGGTGCCACCTTGCTTTATTTAGGATCTGTCACAGATCTGTTCTGAATCTTCAGAAGTTTGTGTTAACATTTACAAGGGCTTTCAGGCTTTTGGAATACGTATGCCTGGTTTTGTATCTCAAAGAAATAAAGCTAAACAGAAAACACTTGCTGGAGTGGTTTTTAGGCTGTGTTGAGTCATACACACTTGGTTTGTCCGAATTCCTGGAAGTGACCGTGCCTTAGTTGAGATGAAGTACCCATGTTACATTTTGGAGCAGTTGCAGCGTGAGCTGAGGCGTTTCTGCCTTTGGGTCCATGTGGGTTAGAAATTGGTCCCAGTCAGTTACTGTGCCTCATGAAAGGCAGTAGGTTTTTGGGAAAGGGCTGGAGGCTGCAATGTGTCAAACGGCTTCAGTTCCTTGCAGCACTGAAGGCAGCCCTGGGGTGCGACCTGGGCTCCGGCTTCTGTGCCCATGTCGGTGTCCAGCCCCACCCCGGTGAGGGGCCAGGCTCTGCCCCACTGGTGCTAATGGATTGCTGTGCAAGGCACGTGGCTCTGTAAGTTGCCAGTTTGTACATATGGATGCTTTTATATAGCATAATTCAGGCTGTCTTTTAATTTCCTTTCATAGAAAATAGTCTTTGGCAATATAGGGTGTAAGAGGGCTGGACATTTCTTAATCATTTATGTAAAAATCAAGATCAGTAGTGCCACTTAAGTAATTTTTGTATGGAAGTGACTGTGGTTAACATTGTCTGTGTTTGGCTTTCATCTGTCCAAATTTATGAAGAGCCTCTGATGTCTCAAGATAACTTAGTCCTAGGGATGTCTCCATGGAAACAGGATCTTTGTTTTCTGAAATTTTATATCCTCTCCCTTCGCTTGTTCCTCCCCACCTGGAGTCAGATCCTGATGGTTGCAGCACACTTGTCCCTACAACATATATCGCAGGCAGTTCCACTTACAGAAGATTTTTGACTGTAATTAGGAAAAGATTAACAGGAAAATAAAATGAATTTTTAGAGAACAGAAATCCTGTGTCTTCACAAGTATCATTAAAGATGAGTAACAGGCAGAACACAGAGGGTGAGACAAAAGTATGAAGCTTACAGAAGAATAATTGCTTCCATTAAAAGTGTTTTAGGTTTTCCCTGACTACTTTATGGAGAAAAATCTGTGGAAACAAGGACAAGTCTCAGTTCTTTTCGCTTTCTGCCACAATGAGCTGATCATAGCTCTGTGTCTGCTGACTTCATGACAAATTGTAATCTGTTATATAAAATACTTGGAACTGCTAACCAAAATCCAGGCCAGCTTTGTAATGATGAACAATTTCTGCCTTATTGGTATTCAGCTGATTTTCTACAGTGTGCTGATGACATTTTTCATAGTTGTCCTTTAACAGAAACCAAAAAAATTGCTATTAATTGGATCTGCTATTAGTATTTGCAACAAAAATGCTGACCTTAGTAAGAAATAGAGCTCCATACACAGATCAGGCATTAGGTACAAGGTTTCTGGCACTTCTTTCTGATCCTTGTACAATCTTCCTTTCTGATGTACTTGCTAGAGAACTGCATTCATTACCGATGTTGGGTTTCCAACAAAGAAGAAAACTCCATTCTGTTCTAACATACTGTGTATGTTTTTGATGATTGCTCTGTATATTTTTGATGATTGCTGTATTATGCAGTGATAATTCATGCTGTAGTCTAAATGTATGATGCCTGCCCTTATAGTGAGAAGACATTTTATTTATTTCTTGTGATTTGCTAATGCTACATTTGAAATTGTCTGTGGCAGGATTAAGGGTTTTACTCCCCTTTGCTAAAATCTCTCAAGTAACTTAGCCTCTTGCATGCTGTTTCCCTTTGATTCAGGCCAGAAGCATTCATGTTGAAACATTAAGCATTCTGTAGCAGAGGGATACTCTGCCAAAGCTTGGATATCTAGAAAGCTTTTCCCTCAAGCTTTAGTTCCAGTCTCCTGCTGTCTGCTAAACTCTTCCAGCAGATTGAAACAGCAGGTAGCACTGGTTATGCTACATACTTAAGAGCGTTTTAAATTAGCACATCTTAGTTACCATTGCACTTCTCTACTTGTGAGCTCTTGGGGTGTGTTGGAGCAGGCAGGAGGTCATGAGCACCTTGCTCAGTTCTCCGCGGCAGCGCTGCTCGGTCGTGCTGAGGTGGGGATGGGTGCTGGGTCCTGCTCGTGAGGTGACAGCCTTGGGTCAGCCTCCGACGCAAGAGGCCATTGGAACTGAGCGGTACCAGGCGTTTGGGCAGGTTGAGTGGTGACCCTGCAATTCAGGGTGCCCAGGGGAGGCAGCTGAGTGCTCCAAGGGGAGTGCTGCTTTTTCCTGTGGCTGAAGTTTGGGAGCTGCCGACTTGCATCACTTAGAGGCATAGTCTGGGAGGGGGGATGAGAGGAGAAGCAATCCGTACTCTGGCAGTGCTGCTAAATAAGTGCTCTGCAAATGGCAGTATTGCTTAATTTGTTCCTAAATAAGCAGTTCCATATAGGTGCCTCACTTTATGTAATATGTTTAAATAATTAACTAAACCATTTTTTAGATCATAAAAACTTCACATATTCATGAAAGCAGATCTAAGAGCAGCATGAGTGACCAGACTACCAGACATAGTGTCACAGTGTAAACTTAAACTTACCACCAGGATTTGTGATTGCACGTAAACTGTATACACCCATACCTAGAGACACACACCCCTGCTCTCCCTGTGCTGGCAGGGCCTTGGGGTAAGGGTGAAAGGCAGCATTTGTCTATCAAATGCAGGGATTGTCTGTTCAGGTTGGATGAATGTGTCCATCTTCTGTGTGCTAAAGCAAAGAAGGCTGGAATAGCTGAAGGGGGTTGAGATACAGGATTTGTAGGGTTGCTGTTGTTATTCTTACTGCATACAGGTTATTGGGAAAACCAAGGTTGCTTGGTAATCCAAGCAACATTGTCACTTGGGGTGTTCAGTTACTTTGTTTGCTAAAACTTTGGGAGTGGAAGGAATGAACCTGCTAATGAAAAATGTGTACCTGTGAGGCAAGATTAACACATGTGATGTATTGTTCAAGTTGGTTTTCATTAAAAAAAATAATACATTGCTGTCTTCTCCTCCTTCAGATTGTTTACTAAACGAAGAGAATTTCTCAGTGAGGTGCCCCAAGCACAAGGTAAGAATCCTCTCCTGGATTATACCTGGGTCTCTTGTTGCCCTCTTCTGGTTTCTAAATTTGGATTAGTAATTTTATTACCTGGATAATGTCTGTAGTCAGAGATGCTTTTAGTTCAGTTTTTCTGTGATATGTGCTTGTGGTATATACTGGGGGCAAACATCAACTCAAGAAGACTACAAGTTTAAGAAGATAAAATTTTTGTTCCATCTGCTCAGTGTTTCTTTAGGTCCTTGATGACTCTTCAGAAAGCTCAGCTTCATTTCCTGAATTCTGTGATAGAATCAGTATGTTGCTTGCTATTCGTGTTTGAATGTTTCATTGAACTGTCGGGTTTTCTCCTTGGATTTACTGAGGATGCAAGGAAGAAGAAAAATTACTTTATGAAAAAGTTCTCCTGGTTTTTGGAAACATCTTGTTCTAGTTTAGCAGTAGTAACTGGACTGAGTCCAGCCCCTCAGCCTTCAGTGGATCTCTGGGGTTGTTCTGTACATCTTTGGTTCATCAGAAGACCCCTGTGCTCCTTCTGCCCAGGGTCTGGGCAGAAGACAATCCTTAATGATTGTCCCTAGAGCCTACAAACACAGTGGTGCAAAGAGCTGTCTGCATGACAAGAGGGGACAAGGTAGACAATACATAGTGTTGTAGCCATAAGTAATGGGATACAGTGCTGGGAATACCCCTCCCAGCCCTTAAGGGAGGATACATCCCTGGGAGGTTGTGGATACCTGCCGTGCAGTTTTAAATGGTCAGAGAGTATCCAGGAAAAAAAACAAACCTCTTCTTTTTGCCAGTTGAATACAACAGGAATTGGGCAAGAGTTTGGATGGCTTGTGCTGAAAAGGAAAAGTTAATAAGGAAGAATTGTGTTGCTTTCTAGCAGAGATTAGTCTCCATCTAGTTCTTGTCTGTAGATCCCTGCCTAGAATTAGACTGACATCTGGTGGTCTTTTGTTCTCACAGCTTATTCTTAATCTGTCTTTTGTAACATACAGGAATTAGCCTCATGTTCCTTTCTGGATGTTCTACCACAAAATGATGTATTTATACACACGTATTTAAAATCTGCTCGAAGATTCAGTGCACATTCAGGCTCTTATCCAGAATTGGCCTACTTTTCATTGTATAAAAGAAAATAAATTATTTTGCACAACTGTGGAATAATGTTGACAATGTACAGCAAGCCTAAATTAATGCATTAATACTGCAAGAACCTGCAGATCTTGCCAAACAAAAACGGGAAGGATGAGCTCCCCTTTCTGTGTAGTGTAACTGCCTAAGTGCCACCCTCTTCTCAGCTTTGGATACTTGACTAAAGATAATTTGAGCATGTCCTGGGTTTGGATGGGATAGTTATTTTCTTCTTGGTACTTAGTTGCCAGCTGGGGTTAAATTATTACAGAGGGTTGTGCATTTGAAGGCTGTTTTATTTTTGCTGCCTGTTGCCTGAAGTATTCCAGGGAAATACGGTGTTACATAGATGGCTTGGGTCACTGCTGCTGTATGTGAGCACTTCCCAGTGATGGTGCTCAAACCATGAAAGGAAAGAACTGGTTTAGATTCAGGCAAAGAATCCAGCTTCTCAGAGAAAATTCTGAGAAGGCACATGGATTTCTAAAGTAATCTTGCAGAATGGGAGTGGGACAACTACCAGTTAAGTTCATAACGGTTTTCATGAGGCAAAAAAAAAAATTTGAATTCTATTCAGAACTATCCCACTGCAGATCACTTTCTTTATTGCATCAAAAACATAAATTCAACACCATCAGCCTTTATTTGACACTGAAGTTTGTTGGCTTTTGCTTAGTAAAGACACAAATAATTTCTTTGAAGCCAAGTAGAGTTTTCTTTGCTTTCTTTCTCTGCCCTCATCATGTATTTCACTAATCATTACTGGTTTGTTCCCAGTCCTTCTGCACAGCAGAATGTAAGCTCACTCTGTTCCTTCCATTGTAGTGGCTGGAAAGGGGAATTCCAGACAGTGACAGTGCAGGAACAGGAAGGCTGAAAACCATTGCTCTAGAATGACTGGAGAACAAATTGCATCCATTTTTTTTGCATGATATCAGTATGAGCAATTGAGAGGAAGAAAGACTTTCAATTAGTCTGTTGAAAGTGATGCTTTTAGGTAAGACCAGCTTAGCACTATTAGCAAATTAGTAACTGTCTCATAGCTCACTCTGCTGTTCTGTAGCTAATGGGTGGAGGAGCTAACTTTATAAATCTCCAGCATTAAGTCCCCCAGTACAGGGCCTCTTACCCTTTGGCAGTCCGTGCCTCACACCGGTAAATACACTTCATCAAAGTAAGCGGCTCCTGGAGAGCAAAGGTGCTTATTGCCTCATTAGCTGTGCTTGACACTTAGGGCATAAGCGAGCTGAGTACAGAGGGGACTGGTCCTGCCTTTCCATGTGCTCCCCAGTGAGCTTTTCCATTTCCTTCTGTCAGGAGTGATGCTTCAACCATCCATGTCCTGAATGTGCTACTTATGCAAAATATCAGCTTTTATCACAGGGAAAATGCTGTCTGAAAACTGTCATCTTTTGAAGGGTTCCTCTCACAGATCCAAATGGCTCTGTCTGCATCACAGCAAGTGAGGTTGCAACAGACCTGATGAGGATGCTGAGCCGTGGAGAGGCTATAAAGGGGATGGATGCCTCACCTTTTGGTGGCTCAGCATCTTAGATTGTCTCAAGCCATCTGTTTGGGCAATTTTGAAGTGATGCTTCTCAGCTTGTTCTAACTTTCTGTGTTAAATTCTGTGTTTTTCTTAGAATTAACCAGGCTTTCATATCTCAGACTCTACTTTTGTGGAATTACCTGCTTTTGTCTTCGGGAAAACTCTGTCTGAAAAGTCTATTTCTGACTTCAATACTGACTTCTCTCTCTCTCTCTCTCTCTCTCTCTCACTTTGTGTATGTTCCCTTTCCCTACCCCTGTCTTCCGTTTCTCCCTCATTTTCTTTTTCCTCCTCTGTTTGGCTTGCTGGTTCGTCAGCCCCTCCTTCCTTGCTCTCTTCCCTCCTTGCAGAACAAGATGGTGAAAGGCAGCCTCAGCACAGAGCAGTCGGAGCGGGGGTGAGGGGGGAAGTGTACTCCTGGGAATGGATATAAAAGCAAGCACAGGTGAGTGGGGGAGAGCTTCCAGTTGCACCTGCTGTCTTACATCCAGTGCCTTCCCCATTTCTGTGAGAAATTAAGGCACTTTTGTATATATTCAGAAAATTTGTAATTTTTTTTCCTGCTACCATCCTGTTACTTTTTTTTTGTATTTCTGCAGCAGTTCCTTCTGTTAAACAATGAAAGGCAACACTTGTTAGCTGTTACAACTGCCTGGTTACTCTCCCAGCTAAAGGAGTGGCAGAAATCTCCTTTTGTATCACGTCTGTAAGGATCTGAAGGTGTTTTTCTGTGAGTCTCAGAGTAGTTAGTAAGCTTCTGTATAAATAAAGTTATCAAAGTATCTTAAAATTCTATATGTAAAGAATAAATAATATTGATGAGTTCAGGATTATTGTAACCCAGGATTCCCATTTTCTGGAAATGTAGATAGATCCAGGGATAAGTAAATCAGTCTTAGCAGGACCCCACTGTGTTTCTTTTGGCCCAGCTTTTTTCTCTATTTTGCAAACAGATGTGGGGCATAGAAGGTAGAACTGTATCCAGAAGTGGTCACAATTCCATAACTTTATAATATGCTCCAAGTTCCTCACTCCACTTTCTTCCTGCCTCCTCCTTTGTCTAGGCCCCGCATTCATACAGCCAGGTGAGAACTTGGTTGGGAATTCAATTTGTCTGAAACAGTTTTTTGCCGTGTTAGCATCAGAGCCAGGTCATTTTCCTAATCTGGTTCACTGTGTGGCTGGGAAAATACACTGGCACAAGGAGGGAGTAGCACTGAGGTGGGAGTTAGCACCTGGGGAATGGGATGAGGTTGGGATTTCTTATTTCTTACTCAATTGCAAGTGCACTGCAGTTCAAAGGCAACAGGGTGGATTAAAATTAAATAAGTGTTCGGTTTCAAATTAATACCTGTTGGCACCATGTCCATGAAACTGCAGCCCAAGAAGGTCTCTTGCCTTCATTTCTCTACTCAATTGCATTTCTTACTCAAGCTCTTTGCTTCTCTTTTTCTTGCAATCATGCAGGGGAAGTTGCTCTTCCGTGTCAGTTCTTGGAACTGCTGATGGTAATCCCCTTCCTTCATTAATGTTCCCTTGCTTCCCAGGCACCTCTCCTGACTTAAAATCTTTCCTGTTTTTTCAAGTAAAGTGATTGTGAAGTACTTCTAATGGTGTTCTGTGTGAAGGGTGAGAGATTCATTGGAAGATTGTGGGGTTTTAGTGCAGTAGCAGAAGAGCCTTATAAACTTTTTGTAGACTGACTGCTGACTTGCTTTAGCTCAGCTGTGTTCTGTGAGTTTCCATTTTTAATAGCATTCGTTCTTGGCTTTGGAGTGTTGTTTTAACAGTTACCATGTAAACAGTGTTTAACAGTATTCAGTGTTTGAGTAGCTTTCTCCTTCCATGGTAAAGGTCACTGGGATTCCTTTAAGCTTTTCTCTTTTCCTTAAAATGTAACAGGCAATGTAATTGATAATGTTAAAGCAGGACGAGAGTCCCACAGCCGAAGTGCCTCTTCTGGCTGTTTAACACTAGGGAAGTGCCATTCCTTTAAGGTACTGGTGAACATTACTGTGTCCCAGAGACCTTTACACAGCTTCGTTCCCTGCATTATTTTCCAGTGCTAGCTCTTTTTTTATATATCATAGGAATGTCTTGACTTAAGATCTTGCAGGCTGTGGAATCTCTGCACTGTATTCATTATATGCTCTAGATATCTCTCTAAGGCATAATTTCTTTTGAAATCCAATTTTGCCTCAAGTAATTCTTACCAGAAGGTCCTATTTAGCCACCCCCTTTTAATGTTTAGAATATCTTCAAAATTAGGTTCTCCAATTCCAACCTGATCTTGCATTTCAAAATAAAAGCCATGCAAATCTAAAAGACCCTTATTAAAAAAAAAAATTTAAAAATGGTTGTATTACTGTGGTAGTTATGCAAATCTAAAAGACCCTTATTAAAAAAAAAAAAAAAAATTAAAAAATGGTTGTATTACTGTGGTAGTTGAAGAGCTTCAGGGGAATTCTGTAGCAGTCCAGGTAGTACTGGAACTGTCCTTCTGCTGGCTTTAGTCTATGATACAATGGATACTCATTTGTGAGATTATTGGGCTGTTTTAGTCCTGGTTCACTCCCAGGCCTAGCAAGTTAAGAAAAATCCTGCATGTTGGATAACATCCAGGCAAGTCAGTGTATTCTATCTTCGTTGCTTCTCTCTCCCTGAGCCAGTTGCCTCTAGAACATTTGGATCAAGTCCAGATCTGGAGAGTGACTGTGAGAGCAAGTCTGGTGCTCTGGATCTTGTCCAGGAATGAGGCAGGACTCTCTGTGTGTTGAGCCTGTTTCTTCCCTGAGCCAGTGCCTAATGCTCTGGACCAACTCCAGGCATGGGCAAGCTGCAATTGTACGGGAGCCAGAGACAGCAACATGGCCTTGACACTCCTTCAGTGAGGGCTCGCAGTTGCGCGGTAATGAAACCACAAAGGGCAGCTGCCTGAACTCTCTGGGAACCTCCCCCTTTCCTCTTCAGCTGCTGCTCCTGACCTTGCCCATCTGGTTTTTGTATGTGCTTGCCTGACTCTTTACTCACTCGCAGCCTGGCACCCCTGGATGGGGGATATTTGCAGCCAAGCGTTGGGCTTGCTGGGATGTAATCTAATTGGTGTGCTGATGATCAGAGCAGTATTGACTTCTGCATCACACTTAGTTAGGGTTCCTGGAGTTTAATTGCAGCTATGAACAAACATGGGTGTTACTTTGCTCCCAGGCACACCTCTAATTCCGTTAACTGCTTTCCATATGCATCACTTCTGGTGCAAGTTCTTTTCCCAAGCTCACTAGCTGGTAGGAAGGGATTTATCTAAGTCATATCTAAGTAACCTTACTAAACAAATAAATTGCTGTTGGGCTCACTTGTGTTACGGGATAAGGGAAGGAAGGAATACATTATTTCAAGCTTTGCTGTATCTCTATGCAGAGTAAGAATGAGAACCCAAATTCAGAGAAAATAAATTTTAACTTTGTAGTTTCTCTTTTGAGCTGAGCCTCCCCTAACTTAGTAAACTCCTTCATTTTCTCACCTCAGAGAATTTCTGGACAGGGAGAACATGTGCCAAGCACTTGGACATTTCCACATTTGTCTTGAAAGACATCACAAGCTTAGTCCTTCTATGAACTGTCTCTGTAATATGAAAATTAGATCAGAAAGAAATACCACCTGCCCTTCAGTTAGTTAAACCACACACAGCTTTACCTTTAGTTGGTGAAATCTGGCAATTTCCCAGGTTTGGTTCCTGGACTCCTGTAATTTTGATACTTGTTTCACTATCTGCTACATATTCACTGGAAACCACCATTGCATGGTAGCAGCGTGACCCATAGGGAAACATTTGGGTGCAGTCCCTCATGGCATCCCAGGAGCTGTCACCATGTTGGGACGAGCTCGGCCCCTCTCTTTCCCAATCTCACGGTCAGTGAGAGGAGGAGACATGAGGTGAGTGAGCTCCTGCCTGGCTGCTGAAGGTAGAGGTGAGTGCTGTGCCATTGTAGTATGGATCATCCTGTCATCCCAGACCTCCTTCAGAACTGGGCTTGCTTTTTTTTTTTTTTTTTTTTTTTTTGCTGGTTGTTAAACAAAGAGTTTTTATCGTATGGATTAGCTTTCATGAGCTACTCACCATTGTGTATATCTGTTTTCAGTCCACAAAGCTAAAGAGCTCTTGGTGTTGCTGCTGTGGTAGGCTGCTGAGCGGGTTTTTCCAAAGCCTGAGGGGCCTGTTTGCAAATGGAGGGAAGGAACCATTCCAATATTATTTTGACTTTGTTTTTCAGGTTAGGCTGTTGAGATAAAAAGCGGTGGACATTCGTGACTGAATGGAATCTCTCCCACTGTGCAGCCATGCCCCCTCTCGACGTGCCTGCCAATGCCAGCACTTCCTTCATAAATTCTTACATCACACTCAAGACTGATGACATCACAGAATCTGACCAAGGAGTCTGAACCAGCTGTTTCCATGGACACAATCTCCATAGTGACAGTGGGGAGGGGAGGGGGAAAAAGGAAACAGGTGGGGGGAATTAAAGAGGGAGGGATAAATATATATATATATAAAGATCTATTTTTTAGTCTTGAAAGACTTTGTTTTAAATGAAAGGTGCGCTATATCCCTTTTGATGCTTTTGATTAAGATTTTAAAAACCCCATATAAAATAAAAAAGAAACTTATAGCTAAAGTAAATATTAAATCCAAAATTAAAGCAAGGCATGTGGAGCATAACATTTTGTGGGAAAGAATAGCAAAACTGGGAGTACTCCAAACAGGACTTGTTCCTCTTGCTTTCTTTCTCACAACATCTGATGAAATTCAATTTTGAAAGGCAAATGAAATACTGATAAATTGTTTGTAGGGTGTGGGAGGAAGGCTTGGGTGATTGCAGGTAATTTGGTGTCAGTAGTTGTGTCTGGGGGGGTAGCGAGGTTTCCATTTTTGAGAAACACTATTAACAATGTAAGCTTGAATAACATCTGCAGACTCTTGGGTCATGAGACTCATGAAGTAAGAGGCGGCTGCTGCTTGCTAGGTCCCATACCCCTCATTGGTGTGGGAACACCTGTACCACACAGGGGAAGGGAGCAACAATGTGACCCCCAGATCACTCCAAGAAGCTGCCTTCAGTTTGGAAGGCAGGTGAGAGGAAGACATGGTTTACCTGCCAGATTGGGGAATGAAAGGAAGTCTGAATGTTGGTGGAGTCAATGTATCTTCAAACTGATTGGGGTAAATCCACTTGGCCCTCTTTTTATTTTTATATTTTCGCTTTTCCTAAGGAAGGAAGAGGGAATGTCAGTGTAACAGTCTACACTATATGGTTATTCGGGGTTGGTTTTTTTTCTTTTTTTTTTTTTTTTTTTTTTTTTTTTTTTTTTTTGTAAATTATGTAATTTTAAAACATTTGGGTTTTAGGAACAACAACAAAAAAATCATGTTTTTTTTCTTGTTAAGGCCTTAAGAAAGGGGTTAGTGCATCTTTCAGGGGTCACTCTGCCATGGGAATAAAAATAGCTGTTTCACAAACAGTTTTATATAAAAAAAGCTTAAAAAAACCAAAAAAACTAATAAACTTCATTTTAACCTTGTCTCCTTTTGTTTTGTGCGAACTTGATTTGTTTAAAAGGACAGAGACAGTACTATCTGCTGCTTTTTGGTTTCTTTGCCTTCATCGGTTCTGCCTTCAGTGATGACCTTCTGAACTGGCCCAGCAAGAGGAAGACCACAAAGGCTTTGAAAAACTAAAGCTTAGGATTTGTTTGATGTTCAGAGTTAACAAGCCAATGACTGGATGAATTTTCTGTTCGTGTGAGTTGGTGGTATTTCACCAGGTCACTGACTTCTTTCACTCACAGGATGGTCGCATATCCTAGCGGTATCAAACAGCGTGTTGTTTACTGGGAAGTCACTAGAGATAGGGATCTAACCAGCATGACATGGATTAAAAAATGGGGTTGATATTGTGGGGAGGGAAGAACTATTTTAAAAGTTATGTACTGGATGCTTGCTCAGCTACTCACATTTTGGAGTATTCAGCACATAAAAATAAAATCTATGATAGCTCATATTAAGATATCTATTTTAACTCTATTTTTAAAAGATCGATTTAAAGATTTGGGAGATAATTTGGCAGTTATTTATTTCTATAAGTTGCTACTCTCACTCATAAATATTTGGAAAGAAAAGGCAGCCTTCTGCTTAGTCCTTTTCCCAGTAGCAGCTACTGAAGTTAGTATGTCCTTTACATTAAGAAATAGACCTGTTGTGATAAATGTCACTAATGTGTCATGAATTGGTGCTGAAAATATTTAACTGCTGGTGTAGTCAGAAAAAAGTCATTTTTAGCATAGTTAATGTGATTGAGTAAATGACTTCTTTTCAACTGAATAAAAATTGGTTTTTTTTTTCATAGTGTCTGTTCTATTCTACGTATTCAAAAAAAAAAGTTGCTGTTATTGCATTGATTATCTGTTGCTGAAGAGTCAACTCTGTATGTAGCACTGTGACAGCAGAACAGCGTGTGCTGGAACTGCTGAATTTGACACTTTCACTTTGGCTCTTCAGGGTGGTGTCACAGCAGAGGCAGAAGGTTTTTGGGTTGCTGGGAGGGAGCCTTGGAGGTTTTCCATGTGGGAGCTTGTGGCAAGTATGGAGATTCAATATTTCCTCGTGCACCATGGCTGGAAAGTGGTGGCAGTTGTGCAGAGCAAATAAAGCAATGGTACCACAGTCAATTCCGTGGGAAGTATTTCACGGTGGGAAGTGCTTAAAATCCTTCGACTCAGTTGTGGCTTAATCCCCCCTGTGCTGTGGTCAGAGGTGAGGGGTGATCTCCAGTAGAGCAGGATTGTGCTTGGTGGTCAAGTCTTTACAGAAACCAGAGCTGTCATGATTCTAAACCCGAGCCAGGAGGAATTCAAACTGTGTAGTGGCTTCCTGGGAGAACTTGGAAATTATCCAGAAGAGTCATACAATCCTGTTGGAAATAAAAATTTCTTTTGGCTGAGAAAATACAAAGTGCTGAGTGGATTTTGAAAGCTGTTTTACGAAACATTTACCTCCTCCATCTTGCAAAAGCAATTAACAGCTCGACATTGTGGATACCCCAAACTGGAAAGAAAGAAAAGGTTTGGAAGTCTTGGCTAATTTGGAATTTGTGGAGCAGAAATGACCTGCAGCAGAACCTTAAAAGAGACTGTTTATAGATGAGAATGGCATCCGTTTGGGAATTACCTGTTTGGATGAGGAATGAACTAACGAGAGCTTGGATAAGGCAGCTCATTTTCAAAGTGTTTCTCCGTGCTGACTTGAAAGAGACTTACACCAGTGTGCTGGAATTGAATGTGATGGTTTAGCAGCCTTTCCAAGCTAACCAGAGTGAGTCAGCACTGCTGCATGGGGTCGAAGGAAAAGATGTTTTCATATCAAGAATAGGGAATGGATTCAGCATGAAAAGGATGTTGGTTGATATGACAAGGATAAAGGGAGCTCTGCAGGAGCTGGTGGAAGCCCCGGGATGTGTACAGAGCAGGTCTCGATACCAGGAGCTGCCCATCGATAGATTTGTTGTTTGTATGTATTGCATGTGAAATCCATGCTTGGGAATCCGAGGCGCAGACCGCTGTGGATCGTGCAGCACAGGAGAAAGCCAGCTCAGCTGCTCCTGCAGAGGGCAGTGGCCAGCCTCACTAACTGTACCACAGAGGTAGGAGAGCGAGTTTTACTTGGGGTTGTGACATGCTTGAACCTTTTGAATTGCTTAGAACAAGACAAACTGATGATGTTCAATGGTATTGAAATAAAAAACATTCAGGGGTTCAGGATGCAGGATCTGCTGAAGAATGGTGCACATCTAGTTCATGGAGTCCAGCTAATGGCAAGCTAAAGAAATGCTTTTTTGGTGGGACATGAGTGTAAAAAACAAAAAGTTTGTTGAGATATGGGCCACTGAATGACAGCTCTGGAATTTTGACTGTTTAAGGTGCAGTAATGTACATAAAAAGGAATATTAGGAAAGATATTACCTTAAACTGGCACAGTTACAGTGGGAACTGATTTGGGGGCTGATTTGGATATAAACTTTATAAACTATCATGCCTATTAGCTGAGTTATTATGTAAGGAATTACCTGTGCTGTCCCAAGTGCAGTGGGTGTCCTGGATGTGATAGAAATATTTAGTAGAAGGATACAGCATTGGTTTGTCTGATCTAGTCCCTGACTTACCAGAATGACTGAAAGAAGCAGTCCTCTATCTCAAAATGTAGAAAATTAAGTGTAAATATCATACTTTTGGAAGTGGAACAGGATATTTAGATGGTTGAGGATGAATAATTCACCATTGCTGTGGAATTTTTAAAATTAAAAGTTACATGAAAAGGAACAGGGCACAGCTAATCCAGGTTCAGTTACAGATCTAGAAAACACAAAGATATGGTTTTACTGACTTTGCTATGAGATGCTGAAAGAGTAGTTGTAGTCTTGGCTTTGGGTTAGAAATTCCTGTTGTGAAACAGGACGAGATTCTTGTCTGGCTGTGAAGTTCCAACAAACAAGTTTAGGTTTGGGTTTAGTTTTTCGTTTCACATTTTTTAAGATGGAACTCTGGCAGCTTATTAAAGTCAGAGAATTTAGTCAACAAAGGTAGAGGACAAAAGTAATTACTAGAAAATTGTGGGAGACCAGTAACACTCTGGTGCTTTCTCCTGGCATTGCTACAGGCCAGTGAGAGCTTGGCGAATGCACATCACTGAAAAATTGTCTCCATACGAATATCATGCACCATGAGCTCCCTACCTGACCTGTGCCATTCAGCCAGAAATTACTATGTAAAGCTCTGAAGGAGATTATGAGGTTTTTCCTTAGAGTGCAAAGGTCAGTGAAATAGTTGCTGTTATCGTCCCTACATGTGAATAATTGTTTGTTCTGTCTGTACTTCTAGCAGAATCCAAAAGGTTTACTCTGTAATCCAGCTGGAAAGTGAAGAGTGCTGCTTACAGAATCTTTTTGTAGGATTTAATTTCTTAAGTGGATCCCTCTTCCTGTTTAGTGTGTTTAGCCTGAACTGGAAGGAAAGCATCCCTTGTTTGTTGGCTTCTTCCACAGGGCAATACCGAGAGCTGAGATTGCTTCTCTTCCTCCTTCATCCTCCAGAGGTTTCTTGCAATTTATTGCTTAACTCAGTTTTACAGCTGTGGTTTCAAGGTTCTGGCCTTACCTGGCCAGCTTTAGAAATGCTGATATTTCTTAGCAGCCCCAGAGAGACTTAACTCCCATCCAAATAATTTGAAAAGGAAAAATAGTCTTCTAGCTCACAGCAAACCCCCTGTGAAATAAACGTTCCACTCTAGCTGGCCTTCAGGATTCACACTGACGTGTTCTCTGCATGATAAAAACGTCTTGCATGTGCTACTGAACATGAGCATGGTCCTGCAGGTTACCTGCAGATAGCACCTGTATTGCATTAGGGGCTTTTAGGTTGTAGCTACCCGTGCTGACAGACAAACTTGGGTTTCACAGTAGATTTGGAGGTAGGTGCTCCCTGGCTTTGAGATACAGCATGGCAGTGGTTTTCTGAGTTTTATTGAAATTGCTTATTTTCAGTGCCACATCTTTTAGTGGGGAGCAGCAAAGAATGGCAGAGAAATTCCCAGAGGAAAGAGCTGGGAGGTTTTTACACTGAAAATAAAAAGGTGGTGTTAGGGTATGTTGCGGTGTGATGTCATGGCTTGCCTCAGTTACCCAGGTCCTTCCCCAGGTGTCAGTCACCTCTCCTTTGACCCACCTTGACTCCTGCTGGGCACAGTCTATCATCCCATAAATTCCAGGGGAGCATCGAGTGATTGGCAGGTTCAAAGGATGCTCTCCATCCCCTGGGGGGTGATTGGCCCATCCAGGTGTCCCTGTCACCTGAGACCCCCTCCCCCCGTACCTGGTTGTGCTCCCTGTGTTCCCCCTCCTCCCCCAGGTTAAAAGGGTGAGCACACCATGCGCTGGGGGTTCTCGTGGAGCTGTTCCTGGATTCAGAGGCCATGCGGCCCAGAATAAAAGCTCTGGATTAAACCCTCCATCAGCACCCACTCCTTCCTTCACCATCACCTTAAAAGGTTTCTCCAGCTCAGGGAGGCCTGAGGAGTGACCCTCTTCTACCAACAAGCTCCAGCCGTAAGCACTGGAGCTCGGGACATGCCTGGACTCGTCCCCACGTGCTCAGCAGCAACTCACAGCGAGCCAGAGCTCTCTGGGGTGCAAAACACCACAGGTGCCGCTGTTCGGCTCTGCAGCAGGGACCAGGCAAGCCAAGGCAGTCCCGTTCAGTAGTACTGGTAAAATCCAATAAGGGTAAATTTGCATTGTGTAGCAAGAGTCCTCTGAGCTGAAGCCAGTTCATCAAAGAAATGTCACCACTTCTCATGGTTTTATTAAAAAATGAGAGTCTGTACACTTCACAGCATTTGTATGATAAAAACTTAATTGGACTTTCACCCAAGTTCTTGCCCACCGGAACTGGGTTTCCTCTCAGAAGAGAAATGGAATTATCAGATCCTTACAAATTGTAGATTATTTTGAGGACATTACTTTGAAGGCTGTTGGAATTACATCAACCTGGATTATGGGGCATAACAATATCTACTTGTGCACTTTTTCATCACCTTGGGTTTGAAGTAACTTGCATGCAAGACAGATCTCACAGTTCACATTTGTAGTCAGAAGAAATACAGACGAGCGAACAAATTACTGTTTAGTGTTGTACTGTGAAATTCAGAACTGGCAGGTGGCAATGGATTTCAAAGAGGCAAGAAAGCACCGTGTTGTAAGCAGAACAAGGACCAATTTAATGTTACACTCCTGGGTTTTGTAATATTTTGCTGCTTTGGAAACCAATGTGAGGAAGTCACTGTATAAAGTGGACGTTGCAGTCTCTCTGTTCACCTGGTGTTCTGTTGTGGCTGAAACTTCTGAGGAGGAACCACTACCTGTACAGGTGACAGATGGCAAAAATACAACTGCCCATTTGGGAATGAAGCCAAAGAGCTGCACTCTGCAAGAAAATAAGCCAGTAAAATAAATACTGCTGATAGAGACTTTTCCTGCAACCCAAAGCAGAGGCCATACAGAATGGCCCAATTTTGTAGCTTCTAAGCAGGTTTCCAGGGTTGTGTTTGACTCTGCTCCAAGTGGGAATCATTCTTGGCTTTACATGACAGGAAAGTTTGCCAGGAGAAGAAACAGTTTCCAGAGCTGTGAGATGGAAGTGGGCATTTGCAGCCTTAAAGAGGACAGCAAGGTTTGCAGGCCTCATGACTGACTCCAGCTGCACCACTCATTTCTACTAAAACCAGCAGCATCACGTTGCCACAGGAACACCAAAGACTTGGAAAAGATGCTGTTACAGCAGAAGTGTAAAC